CTCAGTGATCTCAAGTAAAATGATTTAACAGCTCTATGTCTCAGCTTCCTCATCTCAAAATGGGAGAAAACAGAAATAGAAAATAACTATAGCCGCTGTCAAGATCAAGTGAGAAATTCTGTAAAATGCTTGAAAGAGCCTGAACATCACTAAATGCTAGCTATTCATAATTATTCTTATCCCCATATATTTGAACACGTCATTGAACTGCTACCTTTTATTTTAAAACCTCAAATGTGTTTGCCTTGTTTCTTCACATAGTATCTACCGTGTCATGTCCACTTATTAAGCAGGTCAGCAAAAGTGGTTATGTGATTCAACTTAATAAAGGGAAAGAAAAATAATGAAGTAACCAAATCAGTAAGATATTTTGTTCACTTGAAGATATGTACCTTGTATTCTTGAAATGTTGATGAAGAAAGCTCAGTGCTTAAAATTCTGTATTTTCAGCAATAAATTAAACTTAGATTTTTACATATTCTCAGATACTGTCTGCTTGAAAGTGAACAGGCTTCAAATTTGTCAAAGTCTTCGTCACTTGTTTTCTCTCCTGAGGAATGTTTTATCAGTATTAGCTGGAAAGGAACTGGAAATCTTGTCTTCTGTTTGACTCTACCTAAATGATAATTCATGGGGCTTCTCAGGTCGCACTCATGGTAAAGAACCCACCTGCCAAAGGAGATATGAGAGATGTAGTTCGATCCCTGGGTCAAGAAGATCCCCTGGAGGAGGGCATGGCAAGTCACTCCAGTATTCTTGCCGGGAGAATCCCATGGACAGAGGAGCCTGGCGGGCTACTGTCCATAGGGTTGCAAAGAGTCAGACAACACTAAAGCTACTTAGCACACAGGCATGCTAATGGTAATTCACAGATCCTTTTGATTGTTGCCCAGACAATAGAAAATAAAATCAAGAAAAGGCAGTAATCAAACTTAGAGAATGACTTATGATTGTGGGGAGTTGGGAGAAGAATGAGGGGAAGGAATAGTTAGGGAGTTTGGGATGGACATGCACACACTGCTATATTTAAAATGGATAACCAACAGAGGGAACTCTGCTCAGTGTTATGCGGCAGTCTGGATGGGAGGGGAGTTTGGGGGAAAATGGATACATGTATTTGTAAGGCTGAGTCCCTTTGCTGTCCACCTGAAGCTGTCACAACACTGTTAACTGGTTATACTACAATACAAAATGAAAAGCTTTTTAAAAATAAAGCAGTGATATTAATTTTTATCTTAAATAAATGTAAGTGAATAGCAGATGAAATTAATAAATACGAGGGGAAAAGAACCAAATTCCACCAGCGCACATTTCTTGGACTTCATGAGGAATGTGTCATTGGCTTCCCTTCTTTATCCTATATGATTCCAACAAATTAAGTTTTTCCAACTGGCAAGTTCTTAGTGCTGATGTAATATTGCCTGTCCCTGGACAGCTGAGCTCAGCAGCTCTAGTTCTATTTTTCCTTTCCAAAGAATAGCTAAAGAAACATTCTTTGGATAAGTGTAATATGTTTGCTACGTTACGAGACATTTTGTTCACATTTTCCTCTATAGCTCTGTTTATTGCCCCATTATTTCTATAGATTTGATTTATTTGGGGCCAGGTGCAAATTTTAATAAAAAGAAAAAAGTTCAAACCAGCCCAGAGCAGTCTAAAGGAGGCTCTAACATTCCAGAAAAGACATTTTCATTTCATGTATGCACAGAGTTTAGTCCACCGTTCAGACCTCGATTGATGCATTGATTTTTAATATCAGAGGGTTTTCCCTCTTTCTCCTCCTCCTTTCTCTTCTTTTTTACTCCTCTCATTCTCTCCCTCCTCCTCCCTGCCAGCCTCCCTCCCCTCTACCTCCTCTCCCCCTCCCTCTTCTTGACTAAAAGATAATGTATTCAATTGACACAAAGGGTAATTCTTTGATAAGTCTGTTTTCTTAAAGAAAGAGGCAATAATATACACAACTCTGTAACTTTATCCTGACGATGTATCATGGATGTTTCTCAAAGTCAATACTAAAACCTACCACATTATAGTGTACAATTTTTCAACCAATCTCTAGATGAATGGTCAGGTCACTTTTAGCTTTATTGTCCACTATCAAGAAGAAATTTAATATTTTTGAATGTATGTCTTTATATACAGGTACTTTTGGTTCTATAGAGTGGAATAAAAAATGTAAGACAAATGGATTAAACAATAACATATATTTATACATATATTTAACACATATGTATACATATATACATATGTATAAAATATATTTAACATATATTTATATATATACATATGTATAAAATATATTTAACATATATTTATATATTTATATAGATCTCTATAGTAACATTTTCATAGAGGTATAGATACTGCCATAACTTTATCTTTTAAAATATCATTTTAGCATTCCATTTCCTGATTTTTTCCTCAAATTCATGAGAGAACATTGTGTGAGCTTTGTCCATCATGCAAATGATCATATTTATAGACTCAGTTGTAGTTGGTAGCATCAGTAGAACAAAGTTTTACTGATCATATTTCTATTTAGATCATTTTACAAAGATTCCTTTGTTTCTGAAATTTTATAATAAACCAAGTCTATCAAGGTTTTTGGGTTTGGTTTTTTTTGCTTATTCTCAAATATGGTCTAGATATTGAGTCAGCAATTTTTTTTTTTTATTAGTGCTATATACAAGGTAGCTCAGATGGTAAAGAATCTTCCTGTAATGCAGGAGACTGGAGTTTGATCCTTGGCTTGGGAAGATCCCCTGGAGAAGGAAATTACAACCCACTCCAGTATTCTTGCCTGGAGAATCCCATGGCCAGAGGAGCCTGGTGGGCTCTAGTCCATGGGGTTGCAAAGAGTCAGACACAACTGAGTGACTAACACTTTGACTTTACACACTTTTATTATATATAAAATATACATCGTGGGCCTATTCTTAAATAAAGGTGAGAATTTTTTTCTACTTTTTGGCTCTGAATCAATGGTTTATTGGCTAGCCTCTCAAAGTTTTTTAACTTGAAAATGTGTCCACTTGACATAGAATAATTTTTAATAAGAAAAATTCTAGGATCTCAAAAAGACCATCTCTTTTGTATTCACTGATCATCAACATGTATCATTTCATCGAATTCATAATAACCTATGATACATATTTATAGATAAGGAAACAGACTGGAAAAGGTTAAGTAACTTGTTCAATGCCGCACAGCAAGTAGGAAAACCCAGTTACTCCATTGTGTGTCTGATTTTGAGTCCATATTCTGTACGCAAACATGCCCCTAGTTTCCTGTTTAACTTGACACATTGACCATCACCTGTTTTGGTCTCAAGCTTTTTTCTTTTCTTGGTTTTAAGTTACATGTCCATCTTAGCCGCCAGTGGTCAGTGGTGATGAAGGTGCCATCGACTAGAGTATTTCTACACAACTGGCATGTAATTTTGACTTAATGTGTACTGAGCCCTCTTGTCCACTCTTGGAGAAGGAGGAGGATGTTTCAGGGCCAGTTAAGCTCTCCTTCTTCTGAGGTTGACATTTTTTCCAGAGCCCTGATGATGGCTGCTGGCAAGACTACTTTCCATGGAACATATATCAGCCTCAGTCTTCATCCTCCCGTTACTGAAGATCTTTTTCACCCCAGCATGTTAAAGCTACTCAGTTAACACTAAATCAGTCTCATGTGACATGCTTGCTTAGATGAACACTTTTCTCCCTTTTGTTTCTTTAACCCTAAGGCTTATCTGGGGAACTAATACCATTTATCTCTGAGACTTCTAAAAGACATGATGGAAAGTACCTCAGATCTCTCCTATTTAATAAGCTGTCAATGAGGGGAGGGTTAGTGACCTGCTTTCAGTCCTTGTTGTATTAAATTAAGGTTCTACTTAAATAATTTCTTCACTAATAATTCTAGAAATTTTTCGACAGTGGAAAATTTAAGGAAGAGTCAGATCATTTTAAGAGAGAACACATTCTCTCCCTTGGATTGTCGTGAAATACACAGTCTTTTGTAAAATCGTCAAAAGGGTTTTCTTTCCTTTTTTTTTTTAATACTTAATATGCCATCATGTATATAATTCTTGAATTGGGTAATGGTATTTTCCTCTTTCTCATAGCAGTAGGTTTTTTTTTAATATGGACATACATGAAAACACAGACTCATTGTTTTAAAAAAATTAACACAGGAAGAGGACTAACTCAGATAAGTTTGGGATGAAAATCTCCTGGGAGTGGAGCGGTAGAGATAGACGGTCTTGTAAATGGCAGGAAATCTTTCTGTCAATTCTTTGATTGCCATCCAAGTCTTTGGGGAGGAAATAAAGCATCAGGCAGAACCTATAGTTTGGCACGTTGAGGTTAAGGTTGAACCACTGCCTGCTAGTCCCTTCCCCAGCATCGCAACCCCTCTTTGACAAGATGGACTGACTATTAACCAAGGCTGTGAAGCAAGCCCGAAGGACCCCTGAAGCTGGTGCCAAGCCAGGGCGCCTTGGGCTGGTACAAGCAAAGCGGCTAAAACCACAGAGGTGCTGCGAGTGGCTTCTCGCCCCGGGACGCGGCCCGATGCGCACAAGCTCTCACACAAGTCTGCCCAGAGAAGGGCATTCCCATAATTGCACGCACCCAGGCTAAACTGTGCACACTCACACCCCAAATTCAGAACGCAGAGGGCCTGACACCCTTGATGCACTTTCCGCAGAGCAAGCAAGAGCTTCCCTTCTTTTTCCCGTCTTCCAAGTTGCCAGCCCTGGGACTGGGTGGCACGTGGGTGAGACTCGAGCCTTCTCCGTGTGGCCCTGGGACCCTGGGGGCACTCCGGCGTGTCTAACAGACGCCCAGGCAGCCCGCGCTGCTTCGACGCTCCCAGGGAGGACAAAGGGGTCCGCATCCCAGTGAAGAATCGGCAGCCTGCAAGGTGATGGGTCCCTGGGCCGGCCGAGAGTGCCCCAGGGGAGCGTCCCAGGAACTCGGAGCGCCCTCCCTCTCCCGGGGTGCGCTCACCATTTGTAGCCTCTGCCGCGCTTGAATCTGAGGGTCAGCGCCGTTTCCAGAAACAGCAAGAGATTGAGCAGCGCCAGCAGCCAGTACCACGGCTCCTTCTTCACCGCGGTCACTCGCCAGACTCCAACCAGCGAGTGCAGCACGAAGAGGAGCCGGGTGGCCAGGGCGTTGAGCAGGACCAGTCCCTCCATGCCGCCCGGAGCGCGCGCGCTGCCGGCGCCCCGCAGACCCGGCCCGGAGCCGGGGGCGGAACGTGACAGCTCCGAGACCTGCGGCGGCTGCAGTCCTCTCGCCCTCCCAGAACAGGAGAGAGCCGAGCGCCCCTCCCCCAAACTTCCTGAGAACTCTCCAGAGCGGAGATGCTCGCCCCAGCTTTCCAGGCTTTCCGGGGAGTGTGAGGCTGCCCTGCTCCGGCTCCCAGGCGTTGTTCTCCTGCTTTTGTGCATCTGCCCTCCCAATCCCTGGGGGTCCTCTTTCCATCCCTGCCTTGACCCCTCACCCCTCAGGCTTCCCGCATTGGAAAGAGGAGGGAGGTGCGCTGAAAGGCGTGGGGTTGCACACCAGAAAAGGGGAGGGGGCGCGCTGCGGAGTGTCCCTTACTTTTCCACGGAAGTACTTTCATTCACTCACATGTTGTATGGGAACCAACCGGGTCTCCTGATGACTCTGATGGGATGCAGGAGAGCCAGGGAAGCAGGCAGGTTTAGATCTACGGATCCAGCCCAAGTTGAAGAATTAAAACTTCCCTGGACTAGAGGAAATGAGGCGGGCTAGGTTTTTTCGCAGAGCTCTCAGTACCTCACTTAGCAAGATAGGTAGCTGGGGTTAGCTCTACTCTTAGGACATGTTTTATTAAAGCAAAGGGATATTCTTTATTATGTCTCCCCAACCCTCACCCACTACCCTGACTATATTTTTTCCTAAAGGAAATAGAGTGGCAAAACAGGAAGGCAGGGGGACAGTGAAGAGAAGATAAAAGGTGCAGAGAAGTGCAGAGAAGATAAAAGGCTTAGATTGGAAGGAGAAATTCATGGAGTGGGGAACTGTACCCTTGACATCAATGACTAATGGGGTAAACTGCCTTTCCAGCACCCAAGGCAAAGAGGAAACTGAAGTCAGAGTTTTCCAAAATACCTCCATGATTTTTGTTTCCTTGTTTGGTCTCCGACCACCTGTACCACTGTTTACTTAACATTTTTCCTTAAAAGAACTCAAATTTTTACTGAAATAATGTTTAAAGGAAACTTTCTATCACTTGTAAATGGAAAATCAGTGTAGTAGGCTACAGATGGGAAGTAATTGCAAAAAATAAATCAGATAAAATGAAGCTAACTTACTGAGATCTTGCTAGAGATTAACTATTACCTTCCAAGGCTCTGTGCCTCAGCTTCCCTCTTTCTGGGAAAATAAAGACATGCTAGTTCTGGGAAAGATTGAGGGCAGAAGGAGAAGGGGATGACAGAGGATGAGATGGCTGGATGGCATCACCGACTCCATGGACATGAGTTTGAGTAAACTCCGGGAGTTGGTGATGGACAGGGAGGCCTGGCATGCTGCGATTCGTGGGGTCGCAAAGAGTCGGACACGGCTGAGCGACTGAACTGAACTGAGTCCTGTTACTACCAAGCAGAAATACTCTCTTGCCCACATTAGTAAAATTAAAAAGTATAATTCAAAGAGAATATATCTTGGTTAGGTTTATTCAACTGAAAGTCACCCCATACCTTTCTTAAAATTAGGTTGAAATTTCTGAAGTATGTGATTACTGTCTTTAGCAGGTGAAAAAAAGATCCAACTGCTTAAAAGAAGTTCACTTCTTTCTGGTAATGTGGTTAGCGAGATTTCTTTTGTTCCTGTGGGTCTGCACTCTCCTATATCTTACAGGAAACCCAGTAGTGATATCCTGGAGCTGTTTATTATGTGCCCTTCAGTGTAGGCTGATGGCACTGTAGAAGACTGGCGCATGAGGGCACATAGACCACACAGTGTTGGGTAGCACGGTATGGACATTGGAGCCCCAGCCCTGAGGCAGCTGACTGTCTCGGACTCCTGGCTCAGCCACTTAGTTGCACTGTAGCCTTTGTACCTCAGTTTCCTCATCTGTAAATGGGGTATGAAGACTCCTCAACCATCTCTTGACTCATGGGGCCACTATGGGTATAAAATGAGTTAATACAGGGGTCCCCAGACTCCAGGATCTAATGCCAGGTGAGCTGATGTAATAATAATAGAAATAAAGTGCACAACAAATGTAATGCACTTGAGTCATCCTGAAACCACCTTCCCTCTCACCTGGTCTGTGGAAAAATTTTCTCCCATGAAACCAGTCCCTGGTGCTAAAAAGTTTGGGGACCACTGAATTAATTCATATAAAGCACCTGGCAGGTCATAAGAGCCTGGTCAACCTTGGGACTTACTGCCTAGATCAGAGTAGTTAGTCCAGGGGAACTGCTCTTTGAAGATCTGTAACAAGTAATAATAAACGTGGAGAGAAAAATGTGACATTCCTAAGACCTGTCAAAACCCTCTAGTCCAACACCACCAGGAACACTCTGTTGCTGAACAAATTGGTTTTATTACTATTTTAGGGAGGGAGTACACACTCCGTGCAGAACTGTGGGGCATCTCACTAAGAAGTTGTTAGAGAGGTTGGAAAAGACTTACTAGAAAAGACTGGTCTTTTGTTAGGTGATTTTAAAGAGGGCTGAAAAAGGCATGGCTTTACTCTAAATTGGATACTATCAGGAATATGGATTAATAAGTCTAAGATTGGGTGTCTTCATAAAGCTAATTTAGATCAGTGGGAAATGTGTGGTCTTTTTTTGTGGTTTGAACAATGCTAAAGTTTTGTCTGTGTTCAGTCACGATTGCAGAGTGATCCACTTTTTGTCTCGATCCATCACTCTCACAGAGACCTTGCTTGATATTCTGTGAAATGTTTTTGTTCACCAGGAGGACACCAAGGCCTGACTACAGTGCCAGACTAGCTGCCTCCTTTAGGAAGTTGCTTTTCTCTTCCTCAGNCTGCATATCTGAGATTATTGATATTTCTCCCAGCAATCTTTTTTTCTTATCCCAGCAATCTTGATTCCAGTTTGTGCTTCACCCAGCCCAGCATTTCACATGAGGCACTCTGCATATAAGTTAAATAAGCAGGGTGATAATATACAGCCTTGACATAATCCTTTCCCAATTTAGAACCCGTTTAGTTCTTTTTTATCCTTTAAGAAAACATCCTTCTTGCTTCATTCTGAGCAGGGCAGTTTGAACAGGAGATGAAGGAGGCATGGCAGGCATATTGACTGACACACCTAGTACCGTCTAGCCCTGGGGTTGACCCATATAAACCCTACACCTACAGTGTAGTTGTCCCTGCCTGATACTATCCAAATATCATGCAATTATGGACAAACTTATGGCCTCTCAATAGCGATGCCTACCAAAGTCATGTCTACATCCAGAGCCACCAAAGTTGCAGGCTGGTCTCAAAAGTCAAAACCTCCTTTTAGTATTCATTTCTCCCTTAGCCCCATTTTGATCCTATTCAGACATCACTTTAATGCACACACTCAGTAAAAGTGATGTCAAAGTAAGGAGGTTTCCCCTGAGCCTCTGAGAGCTGGTGCTTAACATATCTCATTCAGGCCTTGGTAGAACTGTCTTTACACCATCTGCCAGCCCTGGTTAATGCAAAGATCCACATCCATTCCAAGGATGCTCTGATTCTCTTTACACCCTTACTGGGAGTCTCCCTCAGCCCACCCCCATCTTTCTTTAAAGAACATTTCTCAGATTTTAGCTGGAGATCATTGATGACCCTAGGTAAGGAGTAGAGATGGTCCCCAATATAGAAGGTCTGAATATAGTTACTGAATAAATACCTCAAGCATAACTTCTCTTTGCACTTGCTGATGTGACTTAAGCTTCTTAGGTGTTCTCATAGAAAGAACTGTGCTCACCTTGTTCTCTTAGACTGTTTTCTTTTGCTCTGGTATCTCCATTGACCCACTCCAAATGTATTCTATCCTGAAACTCCTCAAAATGTCCAGTCCATAATGCTTTCTAGCAGTGTTTTTAATTGCATCCTTTCTGGCTTTAAAAATATTTTCTATTATTTCAGAGGTGAAGTCCTAGCTCTTACTTCACGAACTTTAACTAGGAAACTCACAGATTTATTTGCTCTTCTGAAACATATGGATTAAATAGGAACTTTGCAGCTATTGTACATTATGTATAATAGTAGAGGAAACACAGAGCTTTACTAAGTTAGTAATAACCATAATAATAACTCTTCTTAAAAAAAGTAAAAGTCACTGGTAATTGTCAATCTTCATACACTTTAAAAGCTAGCAAGAAAGAAGAATCTGAAGTGTAGAGAAGGGTCTGGAGTGAGGCTGCCTTCAAGTTGCCTTCGGCAGGCCTTGGCACCATCACTTAAGTGATCGTTGGCAAGTTATCTAATCTCCTTGGGCCTTGTTTTTTTCATCTATAAGATAAGAATAATGTCAATACCTTCATCTGTTAAGAGGGTTAAATTGGTTGATATTTCTAAAGTGCTAAGAAAAACGCCCCCAATATATCAGGCACTCAGTAAATATTTCTTGAGTATATCAATTAAAATATGAATGAGGGCTGAATAAACAACACCCCAAAACAGAAATATATTATTCCCCATCTGGTATCATAGCTGAGTCATCTCCTAAGGCCAGCTGCTTGTAAATGATGGGGTAAACACTAAAGCAGTCAGTGTCATTGCTATGAGCTCAATGCTTCATTCTATCACATGAAAGGAGATCAGATCCGTGGAAACATGGCATGATTGATGATGAGTAAGTCTAAAAATGCTGGTGGTTTTACTACCCCGAATTGTGTGAGACTCATCCTTTAGGACAGCTAAAAAATAAAGATTTTGGCTTGGGAGTCATGCAGCTTGGGTTTGAGTCACTATTCCTGTCAGGGGCTGAATTATGTCCTCCCAATATCCATGTTAAAGTCCCAATCCGTAATTGTTGTTCAGTTGCTCAGCTGTGTCTGTCTCTTTGCAACCCCATGGAATGCAGCATGCCAGGATTCCCTGTTCTTCACTATCTCCCGGAGTTTGCTCAAACTCATATCCATTGAGTCTGTGATGTCAAGCAGCCATCTCATCTTCTGTCATCCCCTTCTTCTCCTGCCTTCAATCTTTCCCAGC